CGAGTGACCGGTCATTTAAAAAATAAGCGTTTGTGTCTTAAAATGATTTGTTTGTAAGTATTTGATTACTGTAGCTATGATAATGGTTTGATAAGAGGATATGCTGTCACGGAAAACTGGACTGCTTTATTAATAATAGCACATACGCTCATGTAATAACCCATGACAGTTAAACAATATAATTCATGATTTACGTCTATAGACACGGCATATATCTTCTATATTTCTTCCTTTTTGTCTTTTTCCCTTTATCCTTATGCTCTATGTAATTTGTATTTTATGTACGTATTATTTATTTATTCATACTTTTTATGCGTTTGATATTGTGATATGATTGTATTTATATTATACATTTTGTATAAGATGTATAATTCTATGTATGATCACCTGGAAGGAAAGTTTCTTCTTTTGCTTTGGAAAAAGTTAATAAATTATATATCTATATCTATCTTTAAAAATATGATGTTTGATAGTAGTTCTCGAAGCGTGGGTATGGAGCGTGGTAACTGACACAGAAATGATAAGTCATGTCTCGATGACGAAATATATATTGTTGGAAAATAATTATGATAATCGAATAACAGATGTAGATTTGAAGATGTAGTCCGAAGATAAAAAAAAACAGGATACCAAGAATATTGTTTTCTTCTATTTGTACTTTGAGGGGAAGTATATCATGTGACAATGAGGAATCTTCTTTTTTTTTTTCGTGATGGCTTCTGTATGGTGATGGTATGTCAGGTATTTCTGTCTGCAGCCAGTCTTTAAGCATCTGTCAGCCGTGGTATGGATCTTGCTTTGCAGTCCTCTGAGATGCAGTCAAGCCATCTTTTGGGTGGACGGCCTCTGGGTAGATTTCCTGTGAAGTAGCAACTTTTGGTTATCTGGTGGGTTTCATTCTTAGGACGTGATCAAAATATTTGAGTATTTAGTGGACAATTGTTTCAGAACATCGATCGAGGTTCAGAGGTTCTTTGATGTGTGTGTTTAGGATCTTGTCTAGTCTTGTCACCCCATTATGCGACGGAGGCATGTCATTTCAAACACCTAAAGACTGTTGCTATCTTCTTTTCTTATCGTCCAGGGTTGTGCCATAAAACAGTATTAAGAGGATAAGTGTTTCATACAGTTGCATCTTCGTGTGGCTACTAATGCTTTTTAATGTCCAGATGTTATTTAGTAGTTGGAAAGCTGCCCCTGCTTTCCTGATTCACTTGAACTTGAGCGGTTTTCTGCCTCTTTCTATCTATCGATTTTTAAAAGGAGGAATTATTCTAAGAGACAAATTAATACAAAGGCCAACTTAGTGCTGTCCCTTAATAGTGACCAATTAATACGAAATAATACCATAGAGTCCAATTAATACAAAGGGCAGCTTATGCTGGTAAGAATGAAAAGGGTGTTACCTTTCTGAATACGTCTAGAATACTTAATTACAAAGAGGGGTTTTTCTATGGAGAGTGCTTTGTACGTTACCTGGTAACCTGTAAACTAAGGCGTGGCCATTGTAATGATGGGGGTGGGTTTCTATAGACAAGCTGGGTAATTGGGAGTTCGTCAACCCATCATTCCAAATAATATCTAATGTCTAAGGAGGGATTATTTGAAGAGCTATAGTGACCAATCAACAGAAAGGACAGCTTATCCGGGTACGTTGTATTCAGACCAATTAAACTCACTTCAAGTGATCTATGTGATGAAGTTAATGCAATTGAGATTAGAATATACTTTTTTTGGTGGACAGTTGCTAAAATCGATTTTGATTTATCATTATTGATATACCAATTCTGGTGTGAGTCACAGAGAGGGATTAATCCATGTGAATGAGTTTGTATGTAACCTGGTAATCTGGTTACACGGATATTGTCTTGGCCATTGCAATGCTGGGGGAATGGATCCTGAGCGCTGTTTCACACAGATCTCAAGTCGAACTTAACTCTTAAGTTGGACTTTAACATTATTGAGAGCCATTTGTAGCTTTAAAATAAAATATATTCAAAAGCAAAAATTCAATTATTTTAGACTTTTCATAAATTCCTCATCAAGAAAATGAAATCTCCTTGATAACAGAAAATATGAATGACTTGAATCAACATTTCATGCCTTTCAAAATAACTTTTACAAGATACTTTCAAAGATGCCAACGGCTTTCCATAACTTTTAAGTCCAACTTAGGATCTTTGTGAAACACCCCCTGGGCAATTCATGTCATCCCATCGTTCCAAATAATATCTAAGACAACCTTTATACATATTTGACTTTCACAATTTCTTCATGATAGTTGACTCGTTTTCATTAGTTAAAGGTATTACAAAGTTTTGGTAAGGGGTCATGAATTTGGTTCAAATTAGCATATTGGAAGCATATGCGTTCCTAAAATATTCATTGATCGTTGTCCCGGTTGAAATCGAGTCTAAAGTTATGAAATTATAAATAATAAACTCGTTATGTTGTATAGCTCCCTCTCAAGGTCAAGATATCAATTTAGCTATGAAACAATGTTTCTTGACTAAAACCGATCGATTAGCTATTCACGTTTGGAAATTATATATCACAACTACATATTCTGAGATTTTCATGGTCGCAGCTACCATTGTACGGCCGTAGGCGCTATTTGAAATTTATCAAAATTTACCGGGAGCACCGGTAAATTTTTATATTCAATTTTTCTCGAAAACAGAAGTGTTTTGGGGGTTAATTTTTTAGTGCTTATAATACATTCACAGGGGCATCCAAATATATCAAAATTGTAAAGATTCACTATCCACCCAATTTTCAAAATTTCCCAAAACTTTGTAATACCTTTAAGTCACACCAGAAATAAACATTAGTCTATGGTAATAATAAGAAATGATTCTTGTTTGTTTGTTTGTTTGTTTGTTTGTTTATCGTTTATTGTTTATCGTTAATAATATGGTTGCAGGGCCCTCAGGGAGAACAGTATGAATACTGATAAGGCTACCCTGGGTGAACAAGACATATTATTATAATTATTATTATTATTATCGTTTCTGTTTGGCCGGGTAAATGAAAAGTCATTTCCGATTTAAGAAATCATTCTTGTTTGTTTGTTTATCGTTTCTGTTTGGCCGGGTAAATGAAAAGTCATTTCCGATTTCCTTTTATCTCACCCCAAAAAGGTGTATCTCTCAAAGTGACCAATAATTGATACGTTAATCTGATAATATTTGAAATTTTACTTAGCCATCCCCCCTCCACCCCCCCCCCCCCGAACCCCCTCCAAACAAATAATTAGATATAATGTAACTACATGTAGTTGGTTTAAAGCTATGATTAAAACACTCTCTCTCTCTCTCTCTCTCTCTCTCTTCCAATGAGGAAACGCCCTTTAATATGAAACATTATACTATATCAGTTCACTTCAGTTCAGTTCATTTGGGTCCATATTTTTAAAAACATAATGGTAAATCCGTGCAATTCCATATTACAAGCAAACAGTATACTTTAAACAGCTACCTAGCTTCAAGTGGTTGGTATGAGTAGAAGTGTCAAATGTCACCATCATCAGGTTTCCAATATTCATTCCTTAACTTTGTAAATGATTAAAATTGATTTGTTTTGTTTTTTGGGAAACAAAAATAAATTTGAAATTGAAATCATCATTATTATTATTATTATTATTATTATTATTATTATTATTATTATTATTATTATTATCATTATTATTATCATTACTACTGTCATCATTATTCTCGTTATCTTTATCATCATTATTATTATCATTGTTATTAAGATTATTGTTATTATTATTATCATTATCATTAATATCATCATTACTATTATGATTATTATTATCATGACAATTATTAGGTCTCTACCAGCTTCAATCAAGAGAATGATTATGAATATCAATCGTGTAGAAATCATCCATCATTAGACCCCCCCCCCCTCATTCAAAATCTTTCTTTCATCACAGACTATCCTTTGCATCAGATATGAAAAATTGGCATTCTATATGTTGTGTTTTAATTACATTAGCTAAAAATGATATTTATCTACTAACACTCCTTTAACTGATAAATAATTAATTATGCTCATTTGCAAATTGGCTTTATACACTCACAGTGTATATACTTAGTAGAAACCAGTCCATTGAAGTTCCTGTAGATGAGGTTCTTTGAATTGTGTTGTTGTTGTGGTGGTCATGGTGGTGGTGGTGGTGGTGGTGGTGGTGGGGGTGGTGGGGGTGGTGGTGGTGGTGGTGGTGGTGGTGGTAGTGGTGGACGTTATCGGCTTTATAGGGAATAGAGGAGAATGGAGGGAGTTGGTGCTTTTCAAAGCTCATCTCGCAACTATTAAGAGTATGATTATGTATAGTTGAACATGTTGAATGAGTGGGCGAATGTACTTGCCACGGTTGTGCCCGTTGCATCTGTTGTTAGTATGTTATTACCCAATTTAATGAGGTCTATGAAGGTTTGCACCTGTTATTCCATGCAATATTTGCATTGTTATTTTTGCCTTGTATTCTTGTGTTCGTGGCCTTGTGTTCGTCTAACGCAGCCCTTCGTTGGACATTGCATTCACGCCCACACTTCTCTCGTATCATTTTTCACGTGGTACGCCCTTGAAATATGTTTCTTCTTTAACCTTAACTAATAAGCAATCTATTATTGACATTCGATTTCACCAACATGTTCTTTTTAGGTGATTTTAATATTTATTCCTATGCAAAATGCTACTTTTACTTGTACTTTGAACTATGATTGTTCAGATTGTTCAGGCATCGCTTCATGATTAACAAGCAAAGAAACAAAATTCAGTATTGACAGAATGAATACATTAAATGAGTTTATCAGGGCATCTTTGTTTACCTTTTGGGGGAGGAGGAACGCTGTACTTTTTCTCGAAGCACTTTACGGCCGTCCGTGATTGGTCGAGAAGTCTTTTATGTCCTCGTCTCCTTGTGAGTTGATTGGCTAGTCACATCGGACACACATTCTCTCATTCACGCCGACCCTATATTTACGCACTGTACATGAGAATCGAGTTATTGGATGCTTTACTGCTCGGTCGATAGAGAGGGGATGTTCATCGTCGTCATATAGATCACACTCTTCTCTCTCATCCGTTGCCAATTGGATCAATAAAGCTTGGGCACTACTTTTATTATTTGTTTTTAGACTTTATTTGAACACTTGTGTAATCAATTCAAACACTTCTGAACGGAATATAATCATAGACGGTTGATTCCTGGAGTGTGTGTAATATTGTTACAATAACTCCTTCAGTTTTGCTAATCTTTGAGAGTTGGTGATTGATCAGAAACTCGGATCAGCATGGCAAATGAATCGATGGCGAAAGAGCTGGGATCGAGGAGGTTTTGGCAGGCGGTGTTGGCCGAATTAGTAGGAATGTTTTTCTTCATTTTCATCGGGATCTCGTCGACTACCGCCTGGGCCCCACCCATAATCCCTAGCCAGGTTCAGATCGCACTCGCTTTCGGCTTGTCCTTGGCGACGTTCGTTCACGCTACCGCCCACATCAGTGGTGGGCATCTTAACCCAGCGGTGTCGGTGGCTTTCTTGCTCCTCCACAGGATCACACCCCTGCGATGTCTGGCTTATTCTATTGCTCAATGCCTCGGTGCCTTGGGCGCAGCCGGTATGGTTTATGCCATCACTCCTACTGCTGTCTCCAACAACGTCGGGCCGACGACACCGGGTGCAGGAGTGGAAGACTGGCAGGCATTCCTGATGGAAGTATGTCTCACCTTCCAGTTAGTTCTCGTCATCTTCTCCACGGTGGATGGTAAACGTGCTAGCCCAGGAGGGTCCGGTCCGCTCGCTATCGGTATTGCTGTTCTCGTTGCTCATCTTGGAGCGGTCAGTATTATGTTCATTCTTGTTTCTTTCCTTTTCATTTCTTTGCTCATGAATGTTGAATATGACGATGATGTTGGTTATGATAATTATAAAAGGCATGATGTTGATTATTTTTTTCTATGCGCTTTTAGAGTTTCCTCTAAGCATTCCATGTGGTGATGGTGGTGTGTATGTATGCATGGGTGTGCGTGTGTTTGTGTTTGTGTGGAAAGGAGGGGTTACCACCGCAAATGTGACTGTAATAGGCCTAGTCTTTTTTAATCACCACACAATTTAATTGTGCTGAATATTCTGTTTTGACTTCTTGGTCCGTGTATAATTTTCCCAACGTCCAATTATCGGCCCTTACCTGGATCCGCCACTGTTACTATAGATAAACATATTGGCCCGAATTCACAACGGAAGTCTGAGGATAAACCCGGTTTGATCAGACCAAGGTTTGTACAAACCTCGGTCTGAGCTCAAACCTTGCTTTGTGAATTCGGGCCATTGATACGAAGAGGAAATTTGCATCTTTTTGTCTCCACTATTTCTTACATCCCCTTTGATTTTTCTTTAATTCCTTGACACTTTTACAATTCTTTTTTTTCCTTTAAATAAAACAATAGGAAACTCTGGCGTGTCATTTTGTTTCCCAAGAGAGTTTCAGACCTTGGCTGAAATGTTTTACGTCATTATCAGCTTAGAAAAAGGTCACAAATAAATATACTTTGATTATTTATTGCTTTGCCTCACTATTTATAGAGGCAAACAAATTAAACTGAATAAATAATGTGATTCGAAACCACAACTCCAACATTGTATTGCGCTGTGCTTATACGATTTAGCTAAAGATGGGTTGGTAAAAGATGGGCTTGCATGATTATTATAACCCTATCACTAACCCTAACGGTTACAATGTGCGCCGATGCGCAGGTTTAGCTAGCTAGCTAGATTCTTCTGGTGGGCTGTATGCAAATGAGTTCATACTGGGGTCCGGAACTCTGGTGGGAAAACTAATTCGGCGTCCCGGGCGTTCCGAAAGGGCACGCCCTACGGATGCAGACCGTCGTCCGAAAGTTGAATATCTGAATATTCCACTCCAAGTGTTTTTCTCGGGAGAAACTTTCAGTCATTGTCCCATTGTCATAAAACTTCTCCAATATGAATGAAGTTATAACGCGTGTTAAATACGACCTAGTTCAAGATGTTTTTCTGCTTCGGGACACTTAATTAGAAAAAGGGATCCACCTTGAATGCCATAATGGCGAAAATCTTGGATTTCATCTTTAATCATAAGGCTAACAAAGTTATTTATTACATTTTTATATGCATCAAATCATACTTAAAGAAATGGCGAAAGACATTTCATCTATGATTATTAACTCTTTTCACGAGATTTGAGGATTATGCTGCCATTTTGACGTCATCTTTAATCTACAAGACAAATAAACTGGTTTAAAAATGGATTCATTACTCTCTTCCCCCAAACAGGGGATAGACACAAATGTCATACTGAGGCTAATGATTCCATACTGTTTCCAAATGGAGCAGGCCATCTTGGACGGCACGAAAACAGATACATGAAATTGCGTATGAACGCATGAATATGAAAAAGATGGGTTTTTGAGATACTGACGTTCTCGTGTATGGGATGTGAAAATCTGCACTTGATCGAGTACAATGGGCGAAGTGGATTGCAGAGTTAATGGAAAAATAGCGTGTTAGGGATAAGGGCAAGATCTGTCTCTGACAAGAAAAACATAAACATTGATATATTTCTTGCATTCAAACCGGTACCAGCAGCTACCTTGGATTACAAACCTCCTCGCATAAAGCTATTAATCACATTTGTATATCAATGAAAATCCATACCTCGAAAATACATTTAACTTAATCACCTTCGTATTGTACAAAAATAACCCCAAATCGGTCATAATTGATAGGTATTTATTGCCTATTTTGGATAACCATTATCAATTCTCAGTTTTACTGACCACCACAATGCATAATTATTATACAGTCTGAATGGATTCGTCGACCCGAATGACATAGGTATTGACACAAAAAGTGACATCTCTGGACTGGATGTTTCCTAATTTCAGGCTCTGGCAGCCATCCTGTATTGAAATTTGGCGGCCATCTTAGGTATAAAATATCGAATATAAGGCTATTCTAATCCTTTATTCAAGCCATACCAGTGAATATCCTAATCTCTAAAACATCATTTTAAATCTTAATAACTACACTTTACTTTAAATAGTAATTCACTCCAGTCATTTATAAATAGGAGGCTGACGACTATTTTGGACGCCATCTTTGATTGCAAAGTTTTCGGGGTTCATAACGAATATTTAAACAATCTAAATGGATTTGTAGACCCCAACACCTAGATGTAGACACCAAAATTACATCTCCAAGGTGGATAATTATATCAGTAATTTATGGCCTAATTTCAGTGCCCTACGACCGTCTTGGATTCCAAGATGTCGACTATCTTTGGTATTGCTTTGATTATACGAATACTCTTAAACTTTAGGATACTTTAAATCATACTTGTGAATATCCTGACCTCTAAGAACACCTTTAATCTTGCCAGTTACAGCTTAATTGTAAATAGTAACTCACTTCCGGTCATTTTTAGGAGACTGTCGGCCATTTTGGTCTGTGATATGGTGTTATATTGAAGCCCTAAAAAATAGCACTTCAAAATGATCAAGAAGTGCCTCAAAAAGGTAAAAATCTTTCAGTGACCGGTTTTCACCATACTCGTTTTCCCCCAATAGACTGCAGTGTTATGAAAACCGTTAGGCAAACGCAAAATTTGGTTTCGATTTCCAATTATAAATATCTTGATAGTCACACAGGCGATCGGCTTATAAAAGTCATGGGGTTCCTGACTGACCTAAAGGTTTATAGTTATCATTAAAGCATGGGCTAAATCCAGGATTGTGCTTCAGAATCTGAGACAAAGTTACCTGATCCCTTTAAGTTTAAAGGTAAAGACCAGTTATGGTCATGCGATTGCATTGTGAAAGAAACGTTGTGGAATTGATCAGAAAAGGTTGATCATCTAGCATCTAGCATCTGCAAGGTTCTGGAATCATCAAAATGATAAGAAATTTGGCCCATTCTTCGTAAAGTTACAAGCACTATACACAGAAAGATGTATATGGGACTACCCTATATCTCTCACAGACCATGAGAGAAACAAATTTACCTAAATGATTTAGTAGGCGGTTTCCCGGCAAATTTTGTTATCATCATGTATTAGTCAAAACATATTCTTTCACATGATTGGTAATGAGAGCTTCCATTTCATTTTTTGAAATTGGGGCGTTTCCAATACTGGTCTTTACCTTTAAATAAAATATCATTCTTCTTCTTTTATTTTTTGGCTTCAGATTGATAGAAATAAATGATAACTTGCAGGTAGTCGAAATACCAGTGGAGAAAATGCGAACAGGTATATTTTAATTTTCAGTACAACCACAGTGTTTTTAAAGTAGTAACCACAGGATCCATAGAGTTAATCGAAAAATCTTTTTAATGGTTGCGCTGACCATGATATTACCAGCATATTCGTTCACCGCTGAAATATTCCATAAGTTGGTCTATGTTACACACTATAACACTCAGCAGCATGGCGTGTTTAACAGGGAGAGAGTACTTATGACGCCATTGGTCTTGTATATTTCTAAGGCTATATCATTCGTACGTATATACGTTTCAATGTCAAAGGTATTATGAAATGAAACCCCGCCGTCAATTAGTAGATTCTCCCGGATTTACATATAATCCTATTTATTACTTGATGGGTCGCCCAGCGCCCCAAACAAGCTTTTATGGTTTGCTTACATACTATATACGAGCATAAGACTAAGGTCATACCTACGTTCTAGAAACACCTCAACCGTTGTCGGAAAACTAATAAAGATGAGCGAAGGTGGCTCTGAAATAATCAGTTTATAGATTTAAGTGGGTGCTCAACCGTTATCTGGCATTTCTCAAGTGGATTTAGTATTGATCCTATGCTAGTGATAACCGGCCATTATAGGTTTAGACCAGAACGATCGGGAGCGTTAAAAGGGTGCTAGTTTACATACAAGCAGCTTCTGTTTAGTGTCTGTACATCTATCACCCCCCCCCCCCCCCACCACCACCACATTCCTCTCTTCTCTCTCTCTCTCTCTCTCTCTCTCTCTTCGCTCTCTTCTTCTTCTCCCTATATGTCCCTTTCGTCTCTACATATACCACTTTCTCTCATTTCTCTTATCTCCACCCCCCCCCCTCACACACACACGCGTGCGCTTTTCCAGTTCTCGTCAGCATTCTTCTTTCTCCGCTATCATTTATTTTCCTGGATGTCTTTTCTTTTCACATCCATCCTTTATCCAATTTTATTCGAGAAATCAACAATCTGGACCATTCAAAGCTTCGCTCAAGACTCACATTTCCTTCAGACATTTGAATGCTAACTTTATTTGAGGAGCTCGCGGCTTTGAATGTTTTTTTAAACAGATATATGGCGCCATACAAATGCTGTGAATCATCATCGACTTCATCGTCATCCTACATTTCCCCACCTATGCTGCATCCCGTCATTTAGCAATGAATTATGATATATACAACAGTACTATGTAAGTGTTGTGTGACATTGAACAAATAATATATAGTCGTATCCTTCGATCAACTAATCTATGCATGCATGCATACTCGATATGTATGTACTCCGTACACAAATAGGATTAAGAATACATGCACTTCTCTCCTCCCATCGGATCCCATTCCTACCTATAGTCTGAAGGCACAGACTCTACGCTTGACAATTTACCATAAGTACTAAAGCCTTGAGCAGAGCCTAGCTCTGTCAGTCTCTGGCTACATATGCAATATGCCGTCAGCCTAATCTCACCATGCGCATAGTGCAGACACTGTTTCATGCAAAGGAAAAATATCATCAAGAGAATACAAAATTTCAATGAACGCATGACTTCATGGGTGTGAGACTTTTTAAAATG